AGCGAATATATTCGCTAGTCCTTTTGTCTTTTAACTTTCTAAAAAAGGAAAACTACCTATAACGATAAACAAAATGTCTACAATACAAGATGACCGTTAGTACCTACAATTTTAGAAAAAACTTATTAAAAAAAGTAATAATAAAACATATTCACTGAATAATATAAATAATCATAATATAATTTGTAAATGCAGATTAGATAACGTCTTGTATGAATTTTCTTTCTTTATTAATGTAATCCGTTCTATTCAGATTTGAGTACATAATTTTATTACTGAAACTAAACATTTTATTTTTTATAAGATTCACTTGGATATAACATATTTTATAAAAGTCAAATTATAAAGAATTGTTTTTTTTTTTTAAGTTAAGTGTGTGTTGTTATATTTTTTTCGAGTAATTTAAAAATTATTATGTGTTTGTGAATTAAATTCTTAGTGAGAAAATTAACAAGAGTGTTCATAACGGTGTTAATGGTAGATGATTAAAACTTCAACCATATGTCGTTCGAGTCTATTATGTACACAGTATAATAATTCAATTTTTACACATGGACCTTATAATGAACTCTATTCAAAATCAGTTAGACAGCTGTAGTCGAAATTCGACACCAAAAACAGGGCCTTTAGAATTTCATGATACCTAACAGTAAATTGTTTTTATGAAGTATTACTAATTTTTTTTTCGAGTTATAACATTGAAATAACTCAAAAACATATGTTTTCAAATTTAGTAAACGATGAATTATAACATTACTGTTTAAACAATTTAATTATAATTTATGAATGTGGTACTCCGACAAAACCTAACAGTGAAAAAGAGCCAAGTTCCAGCAGCCCCCTCCCAAAAAAGTCGGCCTATCAAAGTAGTGATATCTACATTGTCAAGTCAAGTCTGCTATTTCTTTAGTTCATAACCTCACTTCACTCCTACTTTCATGAGCAACACTGCTATTTTATTTGTATTGCTTAACACTTGGTCAGTTTCTGAATGAGGCATAAAACAGACTTGGCCGCAATGTAGATACAACTACTTTGATTGGCTGACATTTTTGGGAGGAGGTCTGGATCTTGGCACTTTTTCACTGTTTGGCTTTTGTTGCAGATAATACAATTTTTCTTAGAAAATCCTGCACTTACTATTTTTTTTTTTTTTATACTTAGAACGAACGAACGAATTCTCCGACGAAGACAAATAACACGGGTACAGAGTATATAGACTGAATTAAATAATGATATTATTTATTGTGAAAACAAGGTGTTGTGCGTTTTTTTGTGTTTTATTTAATATTTTGGCTTCCTTAAAATCGGTTTGATGATTTGTAAACGTGGTCATTCCTCGTTAAACGTAAACCAACTATGATACCAGGCGGCGATATTATAGTTACCACTCGAGTTATTGTTGTTATTGTATGATAAGTTGACGTCGAAATCTTAAATGGATTAGCTGCGAAACAAAACAACGATTATCTAAAAAACATCACTTGTAAATAATATAGCGGAGGAAGGTTTTGCAAATAACGTTTGCGGTTTGACACGTTTCCGATAGGTAACGTTGAAGACCAGATTTAACAAATTGATTAGAAATTGATAAGTGTAAAATTACATGAACAACTGTTGCTAAGCTCCGTTCTCGAATAACTAAACAATCATCACACGAGTAACAACATTAAACGTCGATTATGTATAACAATCGATCCCTAATACAATAAAAAAATTGTTAAATCATTTTCTGATAGTAATTATTATTTAAAATAAGGAAATACTCATGTCTATTTTATTTTTTGATAAATTATTTTTAAATATTCCGCTTAGGGACGTACACAGGATTAGGGAGCACACGGGAACGCAGCTCTTCAAAATATGTTATTTATTATACATTTATTGTAATTTCCAGTGTTTAATTTTTAAAGTATTATTATTTATTAGTCATATACTGTACACATCCGGGACGTGGTTGCTATATGGCGGGTTTGCGTTCCCCACGTATACATTTTTTAAGAAACAGTTTAGTTTAGTGAAATAATACTATTGTCGCGGATATTTAATTAAACATCGTCGGCTGTTGATAATGATCGATTAACCGTCGCTTACAGCCGGAAAGACGAATAGAACAAAATAACTTAAAAATATGCACTGCGCGATAAATATAATATTATATGCGCATGTTAACACAAAAACTCTTGTCGATTTATAATAAACAGGACAAGAAGGCTATAAAGAGCGTATTATGTAAATATAATAAAAACAGGTGCACCGTGCATAAAAATAAACCCAAATAAAATTTAAATATGAATTATAAGTTTAATTCATATTTTTAAAAACCTTAGAAATTTAGCTGTTTAAATACTGACTGTTTTGCTTAGAGGTTAAGTAAATTTTCAGTGTTGGGTAAAAACAACTAACTCCGAAAAATGAATAAACAAATATATGTACACCAAATCAAGCTAACTGTGTCCCACTTTTCTTACAACTTGTACTGGTGTATGTTATTTTTGATACGGTGTACCACTGTATCTCAGTTATTATATTCAATCTATTCGAATGTAATTATTAAGGATTTATAGCTCCGTTAAATGTGATTTAAACATGTGGTCATCATATTCAGTTAGTTAATAATAGAATACAAATGCCTGCTGAATAGTGATATCTTAATCAACTACGAGTAGGTATATTATTGTACTTATATGATATAGGATCTGTTTTAACACTAACGCTGTAAATTCCCAATTCTAAGATCTTAAATCATTATTATTCTTTGGTTATTGATAATTTGTCGATTGTTATGCATGTATAATATTCAATATATACTTACTAACGTAATACCAGAATGACCAATAATGTACTTACTGCAAATATTAATGGGTCTATAGACCGTGAATCATTCCAAGCTTAAACTATAGTGTATATTTTATAAAGTATTCTGATAGTTTTTTTTTGTCAAGACCATCTTAAGTCTAAACCACAGACCACTTATATAGAAGAAATCACCGTTTTATCCATACCGCATCGTATGTCAAGTACTATATATTTTTTTGTAGATCTATATCAATAAAATAATTAACAATTGAAGTATGATAAGTTTAAATGTGTTTTATTAAACCTAGTCTGGACAAAAAATTAGTAAAACGATTAATGAGTACTAAAATTAGAGCCTAATTTCACTAGTATCCATTTACTGTTTAAAAAAAATTGTTTAATATGGAACATGCTTTAGCCTTGGCCTCCAAGCTCGAAAACGTCACAAAAAATTGTCACATAAAAAAACGACACAAAAAAGCGACACGGAATAGTCTATCTCACACACCCAGTGGACCACGGCGCTCATATATACACTATATAAAATCTTAACCATCGAAGATGGTAAGATGCCATCGAAATAATAACGTTTTGGCTAGAACATATAATATTAAGGCTATACTATCTCATAAATCTCAAGGAGATTATAGATCAGAAATAATCACTATTCAGGAGCCAGCAGGCTAAAGCAAGTTCCACGTTTTATAATTATAACTGTAAGGCTTTAAGTAGACTGTAACTTTTTATAATAAAATATATTTATTAGATTGTTTTCCAACAAAACAGTAAACTTGTTATCTTTCTAACGCTATATTATTTAAATCTCTACGCTTATTATTGAAGGTACAATTTTGCACTAAAATAGTATAATTCTATTAACCCCACCACCCAAAAAAAATAAGAATACAAGTCGAATTACAACATGTATTGCATTGACACAATCGCGCTAGTCACCTGTACGATAATGATACAATACAAACACGATACAAATGTGTTGTTTAGAGGGCGTCGCACCGCCCATTTTTAAGGAGTAAAGTATAGGCAATTTTTTACAAAATCTTAATTTAAAGGTTAAACTGTAATGTGTAATTATTAGTTCAATAACTAGGACTCTATTTTGGTAGTTAATTTATTTTTTGGACTATCACAGCATCCTTGAAAGCGATTTAAAAATGTTTTTTCATCTTTACGTGTTTAAGCAGACTGAAAATAACTCGCTTAATTTTGGTTTTAGAGTAAAAGCACCCATTATAAAATTAAAAGAGAACAATATTCCGGAGGGCAAGACGGTGCGTTTTTTTTTATTATTCCAAGTACAACGCTCAATACATAGTTTAGAAATAACGACTATTTTAACATTTTTAAATGACTATAACTTTTCAAAAAATTATTTTTTTTTAAAAACGCACCGTCTTGCTCTCCGGAATATTGTTTTCTTTAAATTTTATAATGGGTGCTTTTACTCAAAAAACAAAATTAAACGAGTTATTTTCAGTCTGCTTAAACATGTTTTTACCACTGAAAATCATCGGTGCGACGCTATCTTAATAATAACATGGCCTATGTCATATAAAATAAAAATAACTTTTAACAATAGGTATAGATTCTCCGTGCCACACCGCTTTGTTACATTGTCCCGATGAAAATAATTCGTTATATTAATATTACGGTGCCATGAGCCGTCAAACGACTAATATCAAATAATATTTATAAATATACAAATAATAACGCTGAGTCTATCGCTTACGTAAAATAATATATATAATAAAAATAATAATCACGGTTGCCGTCGTTTGCTTATTTTTTATTTTTTATTTTTAAGGGATTTCTCGAACCCGTGCGTTTGCACCGAACCGGCTGCGCGGTACCGATCGGACCACGTGAAGTCGTCGCCGGCGGCGAAGGGGAGCCCACCACCTTGGCGGCCGCCGGTGCGTGCGATCATCTGTGCGGCGGTGGCGACCTTGAACAGGTGGGGGAAGGAGAGCGGCGGCGGCGGCTGCGACGACGACGACGACGACAATGGTGGCCCGCCTGCGTGTGTGCACAAATCGGCGCATGGCGTGGAATGGAGTGGAGGAGTAAACGGCGGCGGCGGCGGTGGTGGTGGTGGTGGTGGACGTCGTCGGCGGCGGCGGCAACGGCGGGGAGAGGTGGTACTCGCGCTGCAGGCCCGAACTAGTCCGTCTAGCACGCCGCCGCCGCCGCCGACGTCAAAGATCTCTCGTTCAGTCCGACAAACGCGATCGGTACGATAGCACGGCGCCAATCGAGTTACAACAGAAAACCGTAATAAAAAAAAAAATATTCAACAAACGCGACACGGGAGAAACGAGTAATACCTAATATTAACGACTCGAGCCGAGCGACAAAAAGTTTTCGAGTGGAAATAGTGCAGAAATTTCCGTAAATTTGAATATAAAAAAAAAAAGAAAAGATTTTCACAAATCGTTGTCGATCGGTGTATAAGTCGTCGTTTGCCCGTCGTCCAGTGATTGTATTTTGTTTTTTTTTTAAACGAGTATTCCAAGTGCGATCGATATAAAAAAAAAAAATTTTAAATTACAATTAAATATTTATTTATTTATTGTGAATAAATTGTTTTTTTTTTTTTCTGTTCGTACGTTATTATTATCACAATAATAATAATAATATCGAACGGGGCACGCTGACACAGACGGAGTTGTCCGAAACCAAAAAAAACGGTCTGTAACAAAGTGATCACCACGTGTTCGTTTGCGTGCGCGTGTGCGGACAAGTATTGAAAAGGAAAAAGAAACCCTATCGAAATGACAAACTCGTTGTTCAACTGCGGAGAAACTGTGGCCAAGGTAAATACATGCATAGAACGCGAAAAAACACGTGGTGCGCGGCATCGCGCTTGGGGTTTTTTCTCCAACAATTATAATTATGTATTATTTTTATACATGCACCGATAACGCGATTACACCGTGTCGTCCTCGCTTCTCTCCTCTTCGTTCGTCCTATATATCGGCTCTCCAAAAATATAATGTTACGATATTGTACACGTTTTAACTCTACCTTTAATTACCTATTTGGTCTGAGAAAAAACCGATATTAATATGCGCCGTCCCATTATGTGCTTCGATGGTGGTTTTTTTTTTTTTAATTCTTATAACTAATTCTCGTTGTAAAAAATATCGAGTAATAATTGTGATGTATGATATTCGCGCAATACTCGATCAAAAAACTAGTATTACTTTTTTATTGGAATAAAAAAAAAAAAAACCGGACTAGTCTAAACGTTCAGATAACGCGTGGTAGTCGGTATTTATTTTTTTCCTTTAATTGGATTATAGGTTACATTGGTAATAATAAAAATAACAATATTATAATGCATTTATAGTATATTATTATCATTATTATTTTGATAAATTATATTGCGCCTCGCCGCTTGTGTTTAACTCGTCTCTTCTTATCTCGTTCGCCATTTCCATTCAAAGTAGTTAAATAATCGTTTTCGGGGGCCGTCAACTGATGCACAGCAACGTTGTTGACCAATATATTAAGCCGAGATAAAAAAATAAACCTATATCGTCGTTGCTAGCAGGCAAACCGTGTGTCTTCGACGTCTAAATCGTAGATAACGCAGTACATTTTATTATATTCGTTATTATATTATGTTATTATTATTGCACTACCCCGTGGTCCTTTTTTGGTCCCTAAAGGGTCGCCGGCAAAGAAATCTCGGGTTCCTTTTTTTTTTTTTTTTCCTTATCGGGGTCGTCGTCGTCTTGGTTGTGAAACCACCTGTTCTCTATACGCTATTATAACAACACAATAATATAATAAACCCTCTTGTTGTGTGCAAGGGTCCCGTTCGTATGCCGTTGTCATTCTCTCTCTCTCTCTCTCTCTTTGGCCTGTGCAACAGGTTTTTCGTCCACAAAAACACACATGTGGTGTACGGTGCGACGGCCAACGTTTTTATGCTTATATATATATATATATGTAATGTATGTATGTTTGTGTGCGTGTGTATTTCTTGTAGGGTTTTCTGATTTTCACAATAATAATATTATCATCGTATCAAGGTTATCTGCATGTTGCCGTTGTTATTATCATCCGAGTCGTTATATGTCATCGTCTATTAGCAACTCGTTTGCGGTGTACGCCTCAAAATTGCGTGATTCCTTTATGTAGAATCTCGGCTATTAAGATTATTCATAATATATATATATATATATATATGAATGTCTTAATATAATACACATAATATATTTTTTATCCGTCGTCTGGCGAGTTTTTAAATGATAATATTATAGAAAATACGGACAGTTGCACGTAATAAAGCGCAAACTGTTAACCAATCTAGTGTTTTTTTTTTTTCGCCTAACAGGTAACATTTAATATTTATTATAACGCTAGCGCACAAGTGCATACCGCGTGTTGTGAGTTTTTTTTTTGTTTTATCAAGCATATAAATGTATGTACATATAATATTGTAAAATAACACGACGCCCGTCACGATGATAACCCCTAAGGTCACGGCGATAATTTTTTTTTTATTTCGTTTTATCAGTTTTTCTTGTCCGTATCGTCGGGGTCCGTCTTCCGTGTATTTAAATCTCTAGCATTGCTGCCGACTTCGTATGTTATTACTTGTGTTATTGTTCACACACACACATGCGCGCATTATGATGATACATTTTTTTTTGTTTCCACCGACATGAACACAAGTATAGGTACTCGGTTGTCGGAACAAATTGGCGGTGCGCGATGAAGATTTGTTTTGCTTCGTATTTTTTTTTTTTTAATATTAATACGAATATACACAAAACACTGGCCGCCGGGCTTGTCGGGTTGACCGTTTCCTCATAGTGTAATAATAATGTGTAGTATAACATAAAAAATCGTTTTATTATTTCCTATCGCGCACGCAGTCTCGGTGATTTCATAAAATCGAAAGTGGTCACGGTCCAAGGCTTCCTTCCTCCTTCGCCTCTTGCCCGGCGTTTCCCATCTCTCTCCAGTCACACGCCGCTGTCTTTTCCGGTTTTCTCCGTCTGGCGAAACGGTTTCTTTCTTTCAGGAAAACCCGCATAGTTTTCCCGAACGCCGGCGGCGCCCAACCGCCGTGTACCGTGTATCTAGCCTTTTTGTTTAGGGGGGAAAAAACCGTTTAATAAATACTGTTATCAGATGGAACGCGTTTGCATTGGCGAATATTAAACAGGTCAGTTAAGAAGACGGTCCGAGTTCTCACACGGTGGAATGGAAAAACACTGTAGGGCCGGTTTAATAATTGTAAATTGGACGCGACTCCAGGTGGGTCGGATTCGTCAAACTACACACCGGTGTAGTTAGATGGCTTGCCTGGGCCTCGGACACTGATAACAATTAACACGGTCAAGATGCTTATCGCACAAAAACGAGGCGGCCATGTTCTAATCCCGCTATAATCATAATAAATTATATTATCTAAACATTTTTATTTTTAGTTGTATGTAGATATAATTTATCATGATTACAGCAGGTTTACAACACGGCCGCCACGTTTTTTGTTTACAATGAAACTGTCCTTTCTGATTTCATTTATTCTGTGATTTGTCTATCTATAACGACTGATTTTGTGTTGTATTACAATTTACAGATTACTATCGGTTTCGGTTTTATTCATGTTATTTTTGATCCGGCACTGGTGTTAGGTTAGGTTGGCTATCTTTTTAGAAGGTCTTGCCGCGGCAGCTTTGTTCGGTAGTCGTCTAAATTTGATTTTTTTTTTTGCACGATATTAATTATTGTCGTTGACTCCGATGAAATGTCGATTATATAAAGAACAATCGATCGGGCAACTAAATTATGTATTGTAATAAAAACGCGAACCATCGTCGCCGTCCTTGCCCCCGGGGGTCACGCCGTCGTTACCGCGCTGGCAGGAGAAAGGAAATTTGCCGAAACCAGGAAGTCGTCGTGCACACGGTTTAATAAGTGTCCGAATAATATTACCAATAATAGAAAAAAAAAATCTTAAATGAGACATCTTAAGGAGTTGAGAACGACTTTAATTTCGAGGTGAACAGCTGTAATTTGGATAATATTTCGATTAGTTAAGGGTATGATATTATATATTATGTATCATGTGTTTGTAGATAAAATACCAACTGTATAATTCCAAATAAATTTTTTTTTAGAGGAAATTAACACAAATCAAACATAGCCAAGTACATGTATTGACTTTGTTTGTTAACCCTCGTAAATGAAAGTTTGCTTAAATTAAAGTTGCAAGTAAGAATCGGTTAAGCGGTATGGTTGAACAATATGGATTAATAACATCATTTTTTAATTAAACCGCACATTGACACATGGACGTCCTTGTTGTTGAATACTTACCTATAACTCCGCATAACACGGCTATTAATTTTACAATCAATGTTCCATTGTTTAAACACGGTAACGGCTTTTGCTTACATACATCAAACAAGCTGAATGTAGGAAGAGGTGTACCCGAACCAATATCTATGAATCCACCTTTTGAATGCATGCAGATTACTTTAATCCAATAAATGTCTACAAAATGTTCTTTATTGTTTAATGTTTCGCTGCTTGTATTTCTATAAAAAAAATAAGAGTGATATTTTTTATTTTTATTCGATGTATCTATTTATACAAATTCAAAATTTGCACAATCTATTAATATATAGTTATAAAAAAAAAAAAATGTTTATCTGCCTCTAAATTTGTCACCGTAGTCACCGAAAGTTTTAAACAACTGACCTTGTTACTTCAACAAATATATATATATATATATGGTATTATGTACACTGACAATGGGCCATTATTAATTCAATAATACCCAACTATGGCACGCGGTTTTTTTATTATTATACGTTAGTCGCATTTGATCTATACACTACAATTTGACAACAACAACAACAACTCTAATAAATAATTTGCAATATCCACCGCGCGATTCCTGCGCCTTTTTTTTTGGGATTAACATGGAAATTTGGCAAGTATAGCGTCGCCGAGGAGTAAAACAACGTGGTGAGCACACTTCTCTTCCGGTTATCGTTTTTTTTACATTTTTTTTTTTTTTTAACGTTCGAATTTATCTCGATACGGCGGTCGTTGTTGGGTTAAAATAATAATGTGTGTTATGCTCGTTTGTATCGTAATAGGACTTATGCAACAACGTCGTTCAAGACCACGTCGGTTATTTTCACTTTCTAAACGCTGACCGTGTCCGCCGCCGACAACGTTTGTTGAAATAACAGCTCTCCGATTGTGTGTGTGTCTTTTTCACATTAATGATATAGTATACTGTAAAATATTACGATGTATATAAATGATAACTGAATAACAAGTATAACGGTATGATATTGTCTATTGTCGTTTTCAAGATGTTCGGAGTCACACTGGCGGAACCGTTGTGTGACAGACTGAAACAATAACTAAACGTAAATATTATATATATATATATATATATACACACTGCTCTTTAGTGTTGGTGTATGCATTGGGGAGTTTGACGTGGTGTGTGTGTGTAAGGTATACTCTCCAAGGGGGAAATTTAAAACGGCGTTCGTTCTCTGATAAAAACATGTTTGTGCACGTGTTATTAGAGCCGATTGTCCTTGTGTGTGCATGTGTTGTGTATTTGGTCTCGAATAGAAGGGTTTGTGTCTGCCAGGGCTGGGACACGTTCGCTAGTTATTCCAACTAGAACTATGAATTTTTTCCCGTTTAAGTGAAATCGAATAAAATAAAATGTTCTATTACGTGCGTACGGTATGTTTTGCCTAATTAATATTTTTTTTGTTGCCCGTTAAAGGAAATGGTTATAATATAGAATATATTAAAGATTGTAATTTTCACACAACCTCTGATTCACACACATACTAATTATTATTAATTTTGCATGCTTTGCTTATGTCTGGGCTTTTTGCTCAATTATTCTGCAATTGTTTTATACTCGATTAGTTTATTTTTTAATTTAGCTTAGTCATTTTTTTTATTTCCCATGGGCGGCCGGACGGTGGCTCGGTTTTTTTTTACTTTGCATCGTTATCACTCATCACCTTAATTGCAAGAATTTGAATTTATACACGCACACAATGTTTTGTGTAAAATAATGCTTTTTTTGCATTATTTATTTTTTATTGAACGCCATTTTAAACTGTCGAATTTCCATAATACTCCTTCAGCCCTCGAGTGAACTGCTTCGATTTTTTTTGTTGTGTTTTTCAAATTCACAACAGCGACATACGTTAGCTATTTGATAACAATCGACGTTCCTTACATTGTTTGGACGATATGTCAATTATGGATATTTTTTTCTGCTATTTATATTATACCGAAGCTTAGTGTGATGATTGATGGCCGATTAATTACTTGGCGTGGTCGATACTTTAAACGATGTAAAGAGGCGTGCGTGCAATACAATTAAGCTGTCGTTTATTTGAATATCGTTCTCTCTTGCCGCCATTATAGTTGCCGGCCGTTTATTATAATAAACAAGATGTTCGACGGCTATTAACGCCGATAGATTTTTACTATTGCTTATGAAGCGGCCGCATTTACCTTGAAACCCATCATTTTGTATGGGTAAAATCATCAAAATAACAATATTAGACATTTTGTTTTCTAATCGCTCCGAAGCCATGACAGTTATCAGACTATAAAAACCTAGAACCAAGTCAGTTGAAACGGCCCAATAGAAAACACAACCAAAAAGTAGTCGTCGCCGTTTCATCGGTGTAACTTATATAGTAACGGGACTCTTGAAACTATTAAGTGTTTTTTTTTTAATTAACCTTGATGTAGTAGCATTTGTCGTCCGTAATATACACTTGACTGAATCCGTTGGTCGTTAATTTTCATAATTAATAAGAAATTAATATATTTTTAAATTACACTTAAATTTTTATTGGTTCTGTTATAGTCGATAGCGCAAACAACAGTCTAATTTTAATAATATTAAAGTATACCTACTTGGCATTAAGATATGAAATATAATACCACGCTGTCTCTTAAAATTAATTGAAATCTTTTTGGCGTTAAATATTTATCAATTATCGAGCTCCAATCGGCTGAATAGTGTGTTCGACCTATGTCCTATATTAGTATTGTGTCGCCTTGAGTGTAACCTGTGCGAACCGTCCTGGGCCTCCTCATCTGACGAAGCATAATTTTCATCTCATATCATTCGTTGTCCTAATTGTAAAATTGCTAATAATTTCGCTATTGAACAATATTATCTGGTTAGATTCAGATAATCGATTTTCAGTGATCAAATTCTTTAGACGTATGCTTCAATTGCAGTTTAAAACGGCTTCAGCTTGTATTGTAGACGAAACTGTAGCCAGGTTCTCTGTACATTGTAAACGAAATAAAGATTTAGGTGTCAGGTTTTATCTATATACATTCGGCTGTGTCCATTAGCGTTTAACCCCAGTTGCTAGGGATTAACCGGGTGTGTTGTGTCGAGCATATTCATTTGAATCGGTTGCCACACGCGAGTCACATAATATTTTGAGATAGTAAAAGATATTATAGCTTACCCTATGTCAATTCCCTTTCCCCTCCGTATTAGTTTCCATGATAATACTGTCGTTCTCCCTACTATTACGTAAACAGACATGGCTTGCTATCCAATAACCATGCTGCTATTATGTACTCAGTATCCTTTTTTAAAATTTTGTACGCGTTGCTTGTAATCCAATATAAACGACGGTTTTTTTTTTGTCTCGGTTTTTGTTATGTAGCATGTGTAAACATAATTAAACACCAATTTGTAATATTTGTTACAGACACAAAATCGACCACGCGCCGTGACCACAGAAGCGGACCACTGGTGGCAAGAGATGGTGTCTTCGTCGAGCAGCAACGGTGGCAGTAACCAAGGGTCGGTGTCTTCGGAACCGAGACGCGGCAGACAGGGACAGGGACGTCGTGGCGGCAACGGTAACGGATCATCCGGCAAACACAACAACAACAGCAGCAGCAGCAGCAGTAACAACGGCAGCGAAAGCAATCAGCAACAATTGCCGCCGCAGCCGCCGATGGGATCCCGGTACAAGACGGAAATGTGCAGGCAGTACATCGAGAAGATCAAGTGCGCGTACGGTGACAAGTGCCAGTTCGCGCACGGCGAACAGGACTTGCGTCCCGTGTTCCGGCATCCCAAGTACAAGACCGAACCGTGCCGGTCGTTCAACTCGGCCGGTTACTGTCCGTACGGCCAGCGGTGCCATTTCGTGCACAAGGGCGACGGTTACATACAGCCACCGCCCGCGTCCCCGCCGTTGTCCACGTCGTCCGGTATCGGCAGCGACGGTTCTCTGGCCGATCTCGGCGGTCTCGGCGGCATGCTTGACGTGTTCACGCCGCCGCAGTCGCCCGAGGGACGGCTGCCGGTGTTCAACAGACTGTCCGGCTCGCCGACCGGCACGCCCGACGTGTTCGCCTTCCACACGGCCACCGTGGCCGCGAACCAGACGTCTCTGTCGCCGTCCAGGCGTCTCAGCGAACCCGATTTCGGTTTTTACGGTTTCTGAATAAAAAAAGAAAAAAAGAACGTTGACCGACGACGACGTTAAGCGCGCCGCCGCTGCCTTATCGCCTTAACTTTGTTCTTTTTTTTTTTTTTGATACCAAACGTGATAAAAACAGTCTTGTACATAGTTTAAATTATATTTTTCGTTAAATATTTTAGTATTTTTTTTTTTTTTTAATTTACAATTCAATTACGCGTTCGTTTTACAGACAATTCTGATGTTCCGAATTTTTATACTATACTACTACTACTACTATACTACTACTACTACTATTTACCTACTACCTAATGATTATAAAATAATATCGCATTCCTAAAAAAAAAAAAAAAAAAATCAATCTACCAACAAATTAAAATAACTTAATTTCGATTTATTAGTTGTTCACTAATTATTATCTATTATTATTATTACAATTATACTCGTAGATTATGCGTTTTTTTTTTTTTTTTTTTTTTAGGATTAGTTCGATCCGCGTTAACCTTATACTACGATTGGCGATAGCAGGTACAAATGTGTTTTGTTTTTGATTGTGCGATCCGGATACGAACGTGGGAAACCGAAACGACCCAAGTCGGACTGGTGCGTTCTTTCTTTCTAGATTTGGCGACGGGTTTGTCCGCGTAGTCGACCGTAGATAGTTTACATTTGCACCGTACGCTATATATATATATATACGTCGGCCTACGCGTCGGGAACATTCTTGGGTTTGTGTACAAAGAAGTGTGTAAGAAAATTCGACGCCACGAGTGTGGTGTTGTGTGGATGCGGACGACGGCGGCGGTGGTGACGAGAACATTACTGGCCGGAAATCGCGTTTTTCCGGAACTGTAATATGATTTAGTCGCCACCGCCGCCGCCGGGCGCACCCCTCCCCCCAAAATCGCACTCCGTCGGGCCCCCTCGTTAGACTTAATTTTTTTGCTCTCATCCGATTGTCCCTCGACCCGTCCCCGTATGCGCATCCTTTATATCCAAATTTTTCCCATAAATCGATCGTGTCCAAGCGCCGCGTTCGTATACGGCATCGCTCTAGAAAACCAATTCACAATCGCCAATCCTTAAAATATTATTATTATTATTTCAACAAACAGACTTCAATGTTATTATTATTATTATTATTATTATTATTATATTATTATATTGGTTCATATAAATACCCCTATACATAACCTAACTAAATATTATATTTTGTTTTATTATTATTATTATTATTATTATATACACACTGACCGACTCTTTACCACTATTTATAAATACTGTGTAATACTTAAATTAAATTTTCGTGTATTTATATTAATATTATTATATTATTCTATTTTGAGTAGCGTTTATATATATTAAAAAAAAAAACAAAGTACTACCTTATTTTGTTCGAACCCCCCCCCCAGGCCTAGCCAGGAATGGGCGGAGAAAACGAACGACCCTGTATGCCGTGTGTATTCTAAAACAATTATTATTAATATTTTTATTACGTAAAAAGTAAACAAAAAATAAAAACAACTGTTATTTAAAAAATCGAAAAACCGACGTCTAAATAATAAATATATTCTAAAATTAAATCGCGTATGCGCGTCATACGATCCGGTTTACATACAAGTATTTAAATTGGCTCGTAAAATCGTCACCCTGTAGAAAATTATCTGTTGCCGTATGTACAATGTACATACACAGTTTGCCCACTCTCGCGTTGCCCCTCCTCCCTACCCCACACACAGTACAATATTCATATTGTAAACGATTAAGAAGTTAATATCGCTCGTTTGATTTAATAAGAGAGTAGTAAAAAAAAAAAAAAAAACCAGAAAAACAAAAACTCAATTAGAATTAATTTAAACCGTGTAACGCACAACACGCGTTAAGTGTCTCTTTATCTCGTTTTGTTGTGTATATTATTTCGTCGCATCCACGGTTTGGTGTCGCGTACGTTTTATTTATCTTTTTTTATTATTATTATTTAAATATTAATTCTTGTATTTAGTCGTGTAAGTGTGTGTGTGTTTTTTTTTGTCTTAAGCTCTCAACGTATATATTTATATAATAATACATATTTGTATAAGATTATTTTTTAAATCGTAATTTATTAATTTATTATATTTTTTTTTTTGTCGGAACGCCGTGTGCCAAACGCGTTTCCTTTTGTACTTTTTAATATTTTTTAAAGGAATAAAAATATACGTTTCTTTTTTTTCTATTATTATTATATCCGTATATACATACACGATTACCTCTCTATCTCTGTTCGATGTGTAAACAAACGAAACGCACAAAAAAAAAATGCATGTTAATATTCAGAATAATTTCCCGTCTTTAATATTATTTATTATGCAAATTAATACCGATACTATGATGTTGTACTTATGTTGTTGCTATTGTTTTTATTTTATTATTATGATTATTATTCTGTATTCAAACCGTATTTAACCATCATCCCAGTGTCGTATAAGACGAATTCGTTTGATTAATTTTTGTATTGCTATTATTATTTTTATCATTACTACGATTTTTTTTATTATTATTATTAATTTTCATTACGCGTGTTTGGTCAAAAGTGTAAACGAAAAAAAAAAGTTATTGATAATAAATATTTAAAAATCCAAGATGTTTTCGATTTAAAAAATATCGAGTTTATTTTGTTCGTTGTTGTATCCTGTGTATCAATCATTTCCTTATCCACTGACATTAAAACAAGGAGTACAGCCACCCCAAAACGGAGTCATGGACTATGGTGGTTATACAGTTTACATTATTCATTTGGTTTTCAATTTGAACGACAATAGGGCACGCGAAGTGCATTGTTAGTGTAAGTATACCACAAAGCTTGGTGTTAAAAGTAATCGGATAATGAAAATAGACACCACAAGAGGTGTATTTGTAAAAAAAAACTAAAGGTGAACTCGAGCAGTAACTGAGATAGATTTGTAATTTGACGTTTACTATTACTTATGTACTTGTAAGTAGAGTAATAACTTTGAGATAAATTTTTAATTGTTAAATCAACATTGTTTTATCGCATTTTTTCTTTTAGATATGGTATAATGTTGTCCGCGGGCTTGTGCTTTCTAGATTATTTAAGTTACTAAAGGACCTAGAGGAAATATTTAAAAAAACGGTTGCTCTGCCCTTGTTATCTATCTGAACAGAGTCTGTAGAGTGTAAAAAAAAAATACTTGGCATATCACTCAATAAATATATATATCAAATAATCAAGGTACAAAACTAGGATAACCGTTGACGCTGGTTTTGCAATTCCACGTTTCACAACCTTGTGTATCTACTTTGAAAATTTGAACCCCTTGACCTTTTGGAATCGCCACTGGACGTTGTACACGAACGGTTATTACTTATTATCATACAACGAGCTTGCCGAGTTTCCCTTCGACGTTCAATTAATTACTCTTTTGGATATTAAACGTTAAGAATTAGGCCATTTTTTAATAGAAAACGGCTTGGGCAAAGGCATTTTCCAAGAGCAGCGTCGGCGACACTTACACCGGCTAGTCGGAGCAGCCCGTTTCGGTTGAGTTGACACGGTTAGGTTTTATGAAATTGGTATTCATTCGTGCAAACCAGAAACGGCCAAAACCGAGTGCTACGCTATTACACGACGACGTGTACACAACGAGAGAATATCTATGCCGTTTTGTTATGTAGTACGGTAACAGTAAAAAAAATAAAAAATACATACGTTGCGCAACGCGTTATGGAGCCGGTAACCGAGACCGAAGGGGAAAGTAGTTTTTCTCCATATATAATTCGTATTATTACTACCATCATCGTCGATCCGGTCGTGCGGCCCAGGCTTTTCCGCGTTCGTGTCGCCAGCGTGTTCTTCCGCAATGCCTATATTGACTATTTGGGGGGGGGAGGGGCATTGTTGTTGTCAAAAAACGGGACAGACAACAAACGTCATGTTTCTTTCCGTCCAAATCCTTAATGTTCATCGACCGTGGCGACACAAGGTACACGGGGTACGGTAGCAGCTAGTGTCGTCGTCGAACGGCACATTTTCTTCGGTTTAACGGTATTTGTTTTGGCAAAGTTAAAAGAAAAAAGCCCCCCCCCCCCCCCGAGACACGGAGCAATTAATAGAACAGAACGCGCGCTATGTTTGAGCGGGGATTACGGAAGATGTTTTTTTTTTTTTAGTTTTCCGCCGCCCCCAAATAATGTTTTACCGGATAATACTGTAAGCGGGCGATGGCCCAATATTATAGTAAAATATCGTTATGGGACCGAGGTACGATTATTAAGATGATACGGTCGACGACGGAGTCGTTCTGCAACAGCCGGAGAAAGTATACCCGACCGGCGGTTACCAAACGTTGCGTTAGCCATCGTTTATTTATTTATCATTTTTTATTTTATTTCGTTCGAGTAATAGACTACACGATAACTCTTTGAGAACCGTGTGAGTCTGAGAAACGTACACGAGTATGACGTTTACCTAACATAATATTATTATTGGCTCGGCTCCGTTTACTAGGACAGAGAACTAAGCAACAATCGTTGGGTTTCGTCCGAGTACAATAGATCAATAACTGAAAATATGTACTTGCTTAAAGAATATATTATACAACATGCGTTGTTATTATTATAGTCGCCGAATAGCTTGGAAATAACCGTTGTTCGCACAGGTTGAATTTTGTAATCGATAAAAAAAATTAACGCAAATTGTTAAAGTTAAAGAATAAGACGTAGGCGCCCGTTTGAAAATCAAGACCAGAATGGAAGGTGATGTCATTTTTTACATGCCGCGAATTCAGGTTTCACCCCAACAGCAAAATAATCTTGTTCCTTTCCTCAAATTGATCAGGAGAGATCATTTGAAAATTTCGGCTCTAACGGATTTAATTATACGACCCTTATTTAATTACTTTTACATATATTTGCATACCACACAATTATTCAAAAAAAGTTTTTGTCTTATTCAGAGGTGAAAATTATTGATACAAGATACATCCATTAATCATGATGCAACTATACAATTACATTTAAATTATTAATACATTTTCTTTTCTTGTCTTGATAGTTGAAACCGTAGGACGTTTTGAAAGACTACAATCTACATCATCTCCAATTTAATATCATAATATTCATAACTTATACTTAAAACAATTTTAAAGAAGCCGTAGAAAATTGTATCGTGTGTATTTAATTAGGAAAATCAAAACAATAGTTTAGTATAACGTGTCCAACGAAAAAGATATTTTGTTTTTTTAACTGACACTCTTTTTCTGTATTTTCTGTAGTACAAAAAACAGTTTAAAATAAAATGTCTTTTTTTTTTTTTAATCGAGGTACGTCCTTCGTTGTGCACGGCGATATGTGACTATTAAGTCATTTTAACAAATCTGTAATTGTTTTTAAAATGCCCACAATACAACAATAACTGTTGGTTGAATATCGTCGATGCGCGATAATGATGAACAATGACAAATCAGTACCTAATCACAATAGTAGTGTTAGGTGGCAAGTGCGTTTAGTAAATTGGGCCAATTGCCAATGTAATTTATACAACAGTGTAGACAATGAAGTTGATTTGTTGCTCATGTACATATTGTCGTCACGGCCTTGTTCGAATATCAGAGCTTGAGCTATCTTAAAAATAATTTTGTTTTGCTTTTAGAAATGATAAAACATGTCGCTTATGGGCTATATTATAATGGTAAAATACATATGAGTTGACTGGTAAATTCAAAATTGTACACTGTTAAAGAACCCTCAAGTAAAAAATTACAAACACTCGAATATATTATGTCGCGAATCGACCACATGTAGCAGCTAAGGAACAACAAAATATTTCATAATTGACGGTATATTACATAATACAAATCATTTCGTTAACGCTCCTCAAGTTAAACATTTGAGTATGACATGAATTATTTGTTTATCTTCATCGTATAATTTTATTTTCTATTTTTGGTAATCGATTTCTAAGCTATCATAAGATATCAAAGAACAATATTTTCTATTGTACTTAATTATATTTTGCGTTCTGTATTAAGAAAAACTAATTAATACTTTTAATAATTGTGTATTTGAAATTTGAATATTATTTATAAAATAATATTATATTTACTGGACTAATATATTCCCCACGTTAAATAGCTTCAAAATGAAAAAAACTTCTCCTTTCAAATTGTTGTCTACAAATATAGTATTAAGTATTAAATATTAAATTGAATTAAGCATATATCTAGACTCTAGGGAGTTAAAGAAAAACATGTAAAAATCGAATTTTTATTCATTCTCTGTGTTTTTAATGCATCAAAAATGCAAAAATAATTCAAAAACCATTAAAAATGGCATGCTAATATTAATTTTTGGAGAATATCGAAAGGATTTTTTTTTATTTTAAAGTTGGTTAATAATGTGATTCATTTATTTTTACAACTAGCTTGTTCCTAGTCTTCAGTCTTGCTTGGACAGCTGTTTTTTGTGCCTCCGGTAAATTTTGGTTCTATGGACCACGTCTCCTTTCTGCAATTAGTCATTATATAATATACTATTATTATTAACCATACACTGCTAGCATGTATGTTTGTGTTTACTATTTACATTGTTTCATCATGGTGAATATTTTTAACAATATTTACGTTCCACCCGAAACCTATCGTCCATGAGTATTGGCAATTATCAATTAAAATTAATATGTAAACATATTAAATAATTCCGAATCTAATTCGTTTTGTCGCGATGAGTCAACATTATGATTTTTGTTGACTGTACAGTAATAGCCCCGCTCGTAGTGTATGTATTGTAATTATTATTGGATTGTACTATTACTATTTATCAACACGTGATTGGCATAATGACTTATTTTCTGTATACTTACATACGACCCGCTGTGTGTGTCATATGCCGACGATTGTGGCAAACGATAATGACCATTTGGATAATTAAAAAAACATTCAAACGTGTCGTTGTAATAGCGTTTTGTTATTGTTTTGATAAATGCAAAACCTATGAATCGGACGTCGGATAAGGATACAGTGCAGTATCATAGCATGCCTCTGTATACAAATAATATATTGTTGTGCTCTAATCTTATTAAATATATTTTTTCCCTCTTTTCCAAGCTAAATGGATTGTTCAAATGGAACACTTTTTAATCGCGTTCGTCCCACAACGACTCCAGCATCGATTAGTTAATTATTTTGAATTCATTGATCACAATGATTATAATATT